GCCACATTATCTAGATCTAGACCTGAGGGTCGATACTGGCAGCGGCAGGCTGCCGATAGCCGCCGTTCTCGGCGGTGTTGGCCGATCTACTTCATGTATGCAGTGCCTACAAACTAATGCCGGTCGCGTGCGCGGCTCGAAGCGCGCCGGTGGAGCTGGCGGCGGCCGCGAACAACACATTTTGCCACATTATCTAGATCTAGACCTGAGGGTCGATACTGGCAGCGGCAGGCTGCCGATAGCCGCCGTTCTCGGCGGTGTTGGCCGTTCTACTTCATGTATGCAGTGCCTACAAACTATTGCCGGTCGCGTGCGCGGCTCGAATCGTGCCGTCGGAGCTGGCGGCGGCCGCGAACAACACATTTTGCCACATTATCTAGATCTAGACCTGAGGGTCGATACTGGCAGCGGCAGGCTGCCGATAGCCGCCGTTCTCGGCGGTGTTGGCCGTTCTACTTCATGTATGCAGTGCCTACAAACTAATGCCGGTCGCGTGCGCGGCTCGAAGCGTGCCGGCGGAGCTGGCGGCGGCCGCGAACAACACATTTTGCCACATTATCTAGATCTAGACCTGAGGGTCGATACTGGCAGCGGCAGGCTGCCGATAGCCGCCGTTCTCGGCGGTGTTGGCCGTTCTACTTCATGTATGCAGTGCCTACAAACTATTGCCGGTCGCGTGCGCGGCTCGAATCGTGCCGTCGGAGCTGGCGGCGGCCGCGAACAACACATTTTGCCACATTTTCAAAATCTAGACCTGAGGGTCGATACTGGCAGCGGCAGGCTGCCGATAGCCGCCGTTCTCGGCGGTGTTGGCCGATCTACTTCATGTATGCAGTGCCTACAAACTAATGCCGGTCGCGTGCGCGGCTCGAAGCGTGCCGGCGGAGCTGGCGGCGGCCGCGAACAACACATTTTGCCACATTATCTAGATCTAGACCTGAGGGTCGATACTGGCAGCGGCAGGCTGCCGATAGCCGCCGTTCTCGGCGGTGTTGGCCGTTCTACTTCATGTATGCAGTGCCTACAAACTAATGCCGGTCGCGTGCGCGGCTCGAAGCGTGCCGTCGGAGCTGGCGGCGGCCGCGAACAACACATTTTGCCACATTTTCAAAATCTAGACCTGAGGGTCGATACTGGCAGCGGCAGGCTGCCGATAGCCGCCGTTCTCGGCGGTGTTGGCCGATCTACTTCATGTATGCAGTGCCTACAAACTAATGCCGGTCGCGTGCGCGGCTCGAAGCGTGCCGGCGGAGCTGGCGGCGGCCGCGAACAACACATTTTGCCACATTTTCAAAATCTAGACCTGAGGGTCGATACTGGCAGCGGCAGGCTGCCGATAGCCGCCGTTCTCGGCGGTGTTGGCCGTTCTACTTCATGTATGCAGTGCCTACAAACTAATGCCGGTCGCGTGCGCGGCTCGAAGCGTGCCGTCGGAGCTGGCGGCGGCCGCGAACAACACATTTTGCCACATTTTCAAAATCTAGACCTGAGGGTCGATACTGGCAGCGGCAGGCTGCCGATAGCCGCCGTTCTCGGCGGTGTTGGCCGATCTACTTCATGTATGCAGTGCCTACAAACTAATGCCGGTCGCGTGCGCGGCTCGAAGCGTGCCGGCGGAGCTGGCGGCGGCCGCGAACAACACATTTTGCCACATTTTCAAAATCTAGACCTGAGGGTCGATACTGGCAGCGGCAGGCTGCCGATAGCCGCCGTTCTCGGCGGTGTTGGCCGTTCTACTTCATGTATGCAGTGCCTACAAACTAATGCCGGTCGCGTGCGCGGCTCGAAGCGTGCCGGCGGAGCTGGCGGCGGCCGCGAACAACACATTTTGCCACATTTTCAAAATCTAGACCTGAGGGTCGATACTGGCAGCGGCAGGCTGCCGATAGCCGCCGTTCTCGGCGGTGTTGGCCGATCTACTTCATGTATGCAGTGCCTACAAACTAATGCCGGTCGCGTGCGCGGCTCGAAGCGTGCCGGCGGAGCTGGCGGCGGCCGCGAACAACACATTTTGCCACATTATCTAGATCTAGACCTGAGGGTCGATACTGGCAGCGGCAGGCTGCCGATAGCCGCCGTTCTCGGCGGTGTTGGCCGTTCAACTTCATGTATGCAGTGCCTACAAACTAATGCCGGTCGCGTGCGCGGCTCGAATCGTGCCGGCGGAGCTGGCGGCGGCCGCGAACAACACATTTTGCCACATTTTCAAAATCTAGACCTGAGGGTCGATACTGGCAGCGGCAGGCTGCCGATAGCCGCCGTTCTCGGCGGTGTTGGCCGTTCAACTTCATGTATGCAGTGCCTACAAACTAATGCCGGTCGCGTGCGCGGCTCGAATCGTGCCGGCGGAGCTGGCGGCGGCCGCGAACAACACATTTTGCCACATTATCTAGATCTAGACCTGAGGGTCGATACTGGCAGCGGCAGGCTGCCGATAGCCGCCGTTCTCGGCGGTGTTGGCCGTTCTACTTCATGTATGCAGTGCCTACAAACTAATGCCGGTCGCGTGCGCGGCTCGAATCGTGCCGGCGGAGCTGGCGGCGGCCGCGAACAACACATTTTGCCACATTATCTAGATCTAGACCTGAGGGTCGATACTGGCAGCGGCAGGCTGCCGATAGCCGCCGTTCTCGGCGGTGTTGGCCGATCTACTTCATGTATGCAGTGCCTACAAACTAATGCCGGTCGCGTGCGCGGCTCGAATCGTGCCGGCGGAGCTGGCGGCGGCCGCGAACAACACATTTTGCCACATTATCTAGATCTAGACCTGAGGGTCGATACTGGCAGCGGCAGGCTGCCGATAGCCACCGTTCTCGGCGGTGTTGGCCGTTCTACTTCATGTATGCAGTGCCTACAAACTAATGCCGGTCGCGTGCGCGGCTCGAAGCGTGCCGGCGGAGCTGGCGGCGGCGGCGAACAACACATTTTGCCACATTATCTAGATCTAGACCTGAGGGTCGATACTGGCAGCGGCAGGCTGCCGATAGCCGCCGTTCTCGGCGGTGTTGGCCGTTCTACTTCATGTATGCAGTGCCTACAAACTAATGCCGGTCGCGTGCGCGGCTCGAATCGTGCCGGCGGAGCTGGCGGCGGCCGCGAACAACACATTTTGCCACATTATCTAGATCTAGACCTGAGGGTCGATACTGGCAGCGGCAGGCTGCCGATAGCCGCCGTTCTCGGCGGTGTTGGCCATTCTACTTTACGTATGCAGTGCCTACAAACTAATGCCGGTCGCGTGCGCGGCTCGAAGCGTGCCGGCGGAGCTGGCGGTGGCCGCGAACAACACATTTTGCCACATTTTCAAAATCTAGACCTGAGGGTCGATACTGGCAGCGGCAGGCTGCCGATAGCCGCCGTTCTCGGCGGTGTTGGCCATTCTACTTTACGTATGCAGTGCCTACAAACTAATGCCGGTCGCGTGCGCGGCTCGAAGCGTGCCGGCGGAGCTGGCGGCGGCCGCGAACAACACATTTTGCCACATTATCTAGATCTAGACCTGAGGGTCGATACTGGCAGCGGCAGGCTGCCGATAGCCGCCGTTCTCGGCGGTGTTGGCCATTCTACTTCATGTATGCAGTGCCTACAAACTAATGCCGGTCGCGTGCGCGGCTCGAAGCGTGCCGGCGGAGCTGGCGGCGGCCGCGAACAACACATTTTGCCACATTATCTAGATCTAGACCTGAGGGTCGATACTGGCAGCGGCAGGCTGCCGATAGCCGCCGTTCTCGGCGGTGTTGGCCGTTCTACTTCATGTATGCAGTGCCTACAAACTAATGCCGGTCGCGTGCGCGGCTCGAATCGTGCCGGCGGAGCTGGCGGGGGCCGCGAACAACACATTTGCCACA